AAATTAAAGATAACGGCAAGGCATATTTATAGTTCTTAGGATGTGATAAAATTAGAAAATTAGAAAACGTTACATGAAAACATTCACGTAAAACGTTTCGCGCGAATGGAATCCGCTTGCGTGTTTCGGTCTTTTGTTTTTAATCAACAGCATTTCAAAGATCAAACATTCGAGTTTACCACGGCATTTCTTGGGGACTTAAAAGTTCTTAATTAAATTGTTAGGTGTTTAGGCATGCTCAGCCCTGAAATGTTTTCCGATCACGGAATGTTTATGTTCTTCTGCGCGTTGCTGGAAGTGGCGGCAAGTGTACCCAATATGACTGCATCGCACAAATCACATGTGAATTCATATACTACACTTTGCTGGTTTATCAGGGGGAGGCTTTTCTTCCGTGACTCTCAGATGATCAGCGATCTTTTTGCTTGTGAACACTGGCTGCAGTTGTTGATTAATTTTCGTTCCGAGGTCGCCAAGTTGTCTGCGAACCACGTCAGCCGATTTCTGATCTTTAAATGGCCACGTATTCCGGACAGGGTTGTCAGATGGTGTTTTAACTGGGTCTGTAGGATGCTGGGGCGATTGATAGCTGAGTCGATGAGCTTCTCGGGATATTTCAGTTTTAAAAATATCCCTTTTAAGTTCTTACATTCTTGCGAAAGGAAATCTTGCCTAGAGGACAAGGAGGGGGGCGTAAGGGTTTGCGGTGATGCGGTTTTGCGTTATTTTTGGTGCAGTTTTGCGGTAATTTTCATTTTAACTCGCGGTTTTGCGGTTTCCAAACACTAAGCGGTTTGCGGTTATTACAACCTTTGAGTCGCGGTTTTCGGTGAGAAAAAAAAAATGTCTGCGGTGATATCTCTCGGTGATATCACTCTGCGGTGATAACAATCGTCTTCTCCACTGAACGTGAACTCTTTACGAGACAAAAAGGTCACAATTCCAGAAGAGACATTCATTCCGCTTTCCACAACTAGCACAGGGTCGTCCAAGGTAATCAGTCACCCAATGCAAGATGTACAGGATCAGTGACAGAGTTTTTCAAAGTCAAGGGAGATATCAGTACTCGTTCAAGTACATGACCCACATACTTGGCATTTGGTTAGTAGTAAATAGAGTATAATAGTGTAGTACAATATACCGTTAGCGTTATGATGGTATGTTTAATATTAACGTACGATGTTATCAGAATATATCACAAGTCTTGCTGACGTCAGCTTTCATATTGTGGCCTCCATGTACCACAGGCAGCCCAAGCTCTCTCTATGAACCACACACGCAACACAATATGGCATCGAATTATAAGGGTTTATGTGGGATTTTCTACAAGATATCCATGGAGGTAAATAAAAGTGAAAATTCTCAATAAAAATGGCTTACCTTATTCCATACGTGCGTTGGTTGCTCCTTGATTTAAGCAACTTTTTTTATTCCGGTTTTCCCTTCATAAAGAGAGGAAGGGAAAACCGGAATTAAAAAAAAGTCGCTTAAATCAAGTTAAATCGGTGAAATAACCACACCAGGAGCAAACAACGCACGCATGGAATAAGGTAAGCCATTTTTATTGAGAATTTTAACTACCTCCATGGATATCTTGTAGAAAATCCCATATAAACGCTTATAATTCGATGCCATATTGTTTTACTTGTGTGGTTCATAGAGAGAGCTTGGGCTGCCTGTGCATGTACGTGCGGTTTCAGTATTCGGAAAATCCGATGCGGTTTGCGGTTTTTTTGGCGTATTTCTGTGCGGCTTTGCGGTTTTCGGCCCCCTTACGCCCTACTCGACAAGCGTTTTGCGCGGTCTAACATTGTTCTTAGCAGTGACCGTTTGTACCAGCTGTCAACATGGCTTTGGTAGTGCAGAAGGAACTAAGCTCTATTTGTTTTCTTTCTGTAAACACGAGTTTCAAGGCTGCCGTCGATTTTGATGAATTCCATGCCAATCAATGGCAATCGATCGTTGGTTGCTACTTCCATCGTAAATTGAATGGAGTCGACTCAGCTATCAATCGCCTCCAACATCCTACAGACCCAGTTCAAACACCATCTGACAGCCCTGTTGGGATTACGTGGCCATTTAAAGATCAGAAATCGGCTGACGTGGTTCTCAGGCAGCTTGGCGACCTCGGAACGAAAATTAATCAACAGCTGCAGCCAGTGTTCACAAGCAAAAAGATCGCTGATCATCTGAGAGTCACGGAAGAAAAGCCTCCCCTGATAAACCAGTTTCCTTGCAGAAGATGTGTTTCTTTGAAGTAATTTTGGTTCCTTTTTGCGTAACCATCTACCCGTGTTTCCATGGAGATCTTAGCAACAGACTTCAAAGTTTTCTTTTGCATTTTTTAACTGTTCGATTATTAAAATGTCACTGAAGTCACACAAGGTTTGATTTAGCTTCCTTCCTTTTTAGGGTACCCGCGATTTTCATAGCTCTCACGGCATTGGAGGGAAACTTGGGACCCCTATCCCGAGAAACCAGGTAGAGAACTCGCAGGAAATTCGAATTACCACTAAAAGACTTTGTGAACACAGAGCATCCAACTATCCACGATACTACTTCACTGAAGGAAGGTATATATCAGATAGTTAATGGCGATATTTGGAATCCTTCATTGATCACCAGGAGGCTTGAGTACCTGTTAAGATACTTATTTTAAATGAGATATCAGTGCGTAATGTTCACAACTAAGCACTGAGGGATATTGGTTAACTGGTCATATCAAAAGTGTCGCAGCTCTCGTAAGCTTGTAATTATCTTCATTGTTAGCAGCTTTTATTGTTTTTGGGGTTAGGGGCATTGTTTCTGTTGGTTGTTCTATTGTTCTCTCGAAGGGTAGCAAGCCATTCATGTGAAACCTTACGAGAGCTGCTTCATCACCCGGTCATATGCAGAAACATTACAACAATTTGGTGGATGATAAAAGTTTCTGTTGACCATTGGATGTACAAGCAAACGCTCCCTCTTTTTGGCAATCATTTTCAGTCTAGTTTTATTTTGTTAAATGCTTTATAACAGTCATTGGAATCACTTAGTGGATTTTGAATTTCTAATTATTGATGCTCTATGTACGTGGATATATAAGTTTTCTTGAATATCATGAGTTTTTTTTGTGTACCCGTTTACCAGTGTTTCCATGGAATGTTTAGTAACAAAGTTCAACATTTTTCTTTTACATGTTTCCACTCTACCGGCTTGGTCATTACAATGTCTCTGTAACGACTCAAGGTTGTCGCCATTGACTTTTTAAACATGCTGTTGATAATCTGGTTTTTGGTACTTGATTTTTTCTTACTTTCTGGAAGATTATTTTTTGTAAATGACACTATATGTATGAATTATAGCTTTACTAATTTCGAACGCTCTTAAAAATGCATGTCACATAATAGTCACATGTCACTTTAATAGTCACATGTTTTCTCACTCAACGTACTTTGCCACCATATGTGCATAATTGTAGACCCTTTTATAATGCAAAAACTGAGCTACACATGCATTTACTTGACAATGACGTCCGATGATGTCGAAACATCGTACATTTCTGTCGCTAATTTTTGTTTCGAAAATATTCCCTCAAACCTTACCTATTCGAAAAGTAAAAAGACCGAGACATAAACACACAGCGAAATATTACCAAAGCGCATTATATCTTTTGGCGCCTTGAAAGTGTAGTTTATTTTCAATAGTTACGATTATTTTTTCTCAACTTAACCCCCTCTCCCCTTAGTGAAATTCAGGCTACTCACAACGAAAAATGTACAGCTTAACGCTGGCAGTCAGCTCTAATGACGCCGACAAGATGTGGGGAGATTTTTGACAAGTGTAGGTTGTCAATTATATTCTTTGTCGTTCCATGGTTGCCACCCAGCTCAGTTGTGTGCTATTTTAATTGTAGATGAAAGTTCAGTTACAATGGCCATTAAGTTAAATGCAAGAGCCACATATTCTGACAGGCAAACTTGGACAAGTTGTTTATTGCCTTTGATTAATGTACATCTTAGTTTGGTCCAGCACAAGAGGAATTATGCGCAAGATCTAGACGAACTTTCTGCTTTCCATTTTAATTTGAAATTCGCCACTTCCTTAGTTATTTAGTATTCGAAAACGGTCACGTTCTTACTTCTTGCAATACCTGAACCCAGGGTCAGTTTCCTGGTTAACAACTTTCGGAGCCACTAGTCTTATTCGCTCATTGGAAACACAACATCTGTTGGTTTGTACTGCTTGGGGCATTACTATGACCTGTTATATATTGTTTTAAGAACCATTGAAGTAAGAGGCTTTCCTTCTTGATGGTGAAACCTGAGAATGATATAACTTGAGTTCTAATTCACCAAGTTTAAACAAAGGAAGTCATGACTGTGAGAGTGTTTGGATGTCGGATCTTAATTAGCATAGCTTTTCACAATTTTATTTCTCCGTTTTCTCCTTAGTTTTATTAGTTTCGACTGACAAGGTGCATCAAATACCAAAGACATTGTTTGATCTCATTTCCAAACACCTCGAACTTCTCAAAAAATATTTCGCTACGCATCTTGTGTTTGAAGTCTCTTATCGGTTTGGAAATATGGTTGAACTCGGTCTTTCGTGTTTGATATATTACTTCAGAAATGCAGAAAAGGGCTTCCAGCTTTCTCGCTGTTTTTGGCTTGTTTTTTTAATTTTTTTTCATTCAATGAAATTTTCAGTAATAACTCGTGGTTTAGGCTACTCTAAATGCTCGAACCAATAGAACGCTCTTTGAGTTTAATTTTTTTGCACTAATTGGACATATATACTTTCGTATTTAGCCAATCAGAGAGCGAGCAGAAGTCAAAATGTGTAACACATTATTGTAACAATATGAGAAAGATGCTTACGCTGAATGCAGCTAGACATGCGTTGCTCTCAGCTCTACAGGAACCAGTGGCAGTTGTAACTTCATCCAGTTTTGTAGTTTTCACTTTCTCATTTTATTTTTTAGAATTTCTTGGAGAACAGAAAGACGCGGATTGCATTGCAAGAATTGAATTGAGGAATAACTGAAAGGAAAACGCCTGTGTGGTAAGTCAGGATTTTACACTGGTTAACAGCTAAGCAATATAGTTCGCCGCGATGGAAGAAAAATGTTTGTTTGTGAAGCGTGTACCGTTTCCTTTGTAAACATCAGAAAAGGCGAAAGAGCGGTTAAATGACCTCACGGAAGCCCAATGTACATCTTCAAACTAATCGAGGAAATTTCAATTTTAGAGTTTCCATTTTCTTTCGTTTCCTTTTCCTCGCCAAACTGCAACGTGGTCTACTGACAGGGACGGCAATACATTTTAAACACAATTTGGAACATTACTCATGTTCGCGTGGGAAAACCCTTTGTAAAGAAAAAAACACCTGACTTCCAAGTGCTGTAAAAGCTTTTGCTTACTTGCATTTAAGGCTCAGCCCATGTGAAGCCCGAAATCTCGAGATCAGGAGAAGTGCTATTTCTCTTCAAGTTGGGCGCTATGAGTTTCGATGAAGTTGAATCTAGGCAAGAAACGTTAGAGGTGGAGTTAAGCATCTTTAGGCGACTGATTATATAGAAACGTTTCAGCAAAACCAGCTGTTAAGGCTAGAACTTCTTTCTGTGATGCGTGTACAATTTCGTGCGCAAAATTATGTTATATCTCCACTCGGTCAGGAGATCATATTCATGTAAAAGAGGGGCACTGCCACATTGTCTAGGCATGCTTGAAACTGCCCAACATTTGGAGAAAACGACTATTGTACACTGATTCTGCGAATTTCTGGAAGAGTTCCGGGATCGTCCATTCGGAGCTGTTTGAGATGCCTTTCTGCACTTCCTGCTTCCTCTTAAGCTGGAAAGTAGAGAATTAACAACCCTTGAAAGGAAATGTGGGCCATACGACGCAAAGAAAAATTCTTTGTTCTCGGCAGGTTTGAACCCATGACCTCTCGCATTTTGGTTTTTATTACGCACCTTTTCCCTCCAGAAATACCTGTATTGAAAAATGCAGGTAGTGGTGCGACTGAAATTCATCTGATCAACACGCGCTAGATCTGTAAGTTAAGTAAGATCTTCACTTATTTGAAAAACAACTGAAGGTGGTGATAGATTATCTCAGGAAACATTTGCAGCACTTAATTTTCCTGGTTTGACAGATTTCATATTTCTCATGTCACTGCGATCATCTGTATCAACAATGATCGCTTGGGCACTTGAATCTTATCATTATTAAAAAGAGATGAACGCGATTCTAGTCGAAAACGCTCAGTATATAAACAACGTTATACAATGTAGTTTAGATTGCTCTCTGAAATTTAGAGATACCGTGCATGTCTGTCCGAGTACAATTGCAGTTTAAATTCGTATTTGCTTGTATAATATTCCATACAACTGAACACCTGCGAAATCCAAACTTAATATTAAGAGCATCAAGAAAGTGTCACAGAAGCAAATCAAGACAAATAAGAACAAGGGAAAAACGCTGATTTCAGTGAAACTGAGTAAGCCTTGTTATGCCCAGCGAGACTGCATACGAATGCGTACGTTAACAACTGCCTTTGTAAGTCTCTATCTAATGTTCACAAACATTAGAATCTTCGCCGCAAAGACCAGCTGTTTAAGTATGCTAAGTTTCAACTTGTCCTCTGTGTCGCAGTATTGACAAATTGTGCTTGTGTCATCTGTCTAAACTTCAAGCAAACCACCCTGTTGAGCACGAATTTGAAACATTTCAGTTTTTAGCAGGATAAACCTTAGGAGATAACAACGAAATATCGTAGATGTGTCCGGAACTATTCAGCACTCCCAGCCTATTTTTGTGTTATACATTCCAGAGAAACGTATTATTCATTAGCCTATGTAAATCCTTCCCCTACATAGGCTTATTGTTCATCTTCTTGCGGCAGGGATGAGTTGGTCTTGACTCATATATATTTAATACTTTATTGGTATTTTCAGCTAGTTGAATTTTAATTATTTCACTTGCCTGTAAATTAATTGATTAGTTTAATACAGGGGTGTTATTCACAGAAAAGCATTGTATCTGTAGTCACTGCAACTTTGAGTTCCGCCGAATATTAATACCTTGCCATCCCTATTTATCTGTGATGGAATCCCGATTTTCCTTCTCCCTCCTATCTCAGGCGACGCTAGTAAATTTACCTTCGATTTTTGAACCAACTTCTGTTCCCCTTAGTGGCTCAAAAAATCGAGACTTCACTGTATTACGACGAGCGTCCTATCCAGTGTTAGTAGCCATACTTGCGGTCGCTTCGAGAACCTCTTCGAGATACCCGGAGATATCCGACAGTATCCATACACGAGTCCCACTAACAAACTCTTCCGTAAGGTCTTCACCCAGAATACAAGTGATACACACGCACCCCACGCAGTTCGAATGTTTTGTTTACAAATATTGAATTTTACAACAAGCTTACGTGTGTCATAAATATGAGCAAACTTCCCATTGGGTAGTGCTATGTCACTTGCCCTATATTCTGTCATTCTACAGTTTTTGATTTTCTAACTGGTAACAAATTAGGAACATGGATACCTCCTGCTGCCTATTATATATTATAGATGCTGTCGCAGGGTTTCTGGCTTTCGTCGCTTGTCGGAAGTATCAAATAGGAACTCTAAAACCGACCGACTTCGACACAGCATACTCTGGTGGTAGGAAAAAAGTTTGAACACACCATTGCAAATTGATGGGACTTCTAGATACTTTGTCGACAATCGACAGCAGGAAACTTAAACCACTTTTTATCATTTTCTTCTCCTTTCAGATGCTGCATTACACGTTTGGAAAATGGTGCTTTCTCGTCAGGAAACGTTTTTGTTATTTCTCGCGTATAACTTTGTAGGAATAAAATGTGGCTCCTCGAAAGAAACTACCGGTAGGTTTTTTTCTATTTCTTCTGCAACACAACGAAGATTCACAAGCTAATTAACACTTTAAGGTGCAAAATTAATGTAATAGTTCACATGGGAATTGTAGAAGCTGCGAAATTCGTTGAAATTTTGTCTAATTAATTCGTGCTCCCTTGATGAATTGTGTCAATTTTTTAATTTTAGTATTGGTTTTCCAAAAATTGTTATTAATTCAACGATTTCAAATTTCCTTTGAATGCCCCAAAATCTAACATTGTTAACTGTCGAGTCACTTTTATACTGAGTATAAAGTATACATGAATATAAAGTATACAAGAAGAAAAGCAATCAGCCGTCCTGCTAGATAAAACCAATTTTTCATTTCAATATTATTAAAATTCGTAAGCATTTGTTATTAGCCTAACATAAATAAAATGAGAAATTTCCATTTGAAGCTATCAAAAACGTCAACGTTTTTGCAAACAATTTTTACAGGTAACATTAAAAAAAAACTATGAAAGTCAAAGATAAGTTTGCCTGTTTGGCTTTATTTGATGTGCCTGATAAATATTCGTGAAGGAGTCTTCTTGTTCACGACATGTTATAAGACTCATGGTTTGTTAGTGCAGCTGCTGTTTCTTTACAACCTCACACTTGCTATCTACTGGTTCGTAAATATTTAAATACAAAGACAAATGTTTTGTTAATTTGTCACCGTCACTTCAATTGCAAGCGTGTACAGTGGATTGCTGTTAACCTGGCTCACCGATTCTTGAGGCCAACTTTTCATCTATTGTACAGTGCCTCCTCTTGCTGTAGCGTAATGATAAAAAGGCCGTAATGATAAAAAGGCAAAAGAAAAAAATCCGATATTTTTGAGTTGCGTTCTTTCCCGAGACGTATTATATACGGGTCTTTCGAAGATGTAGAACATGTCAGTAGCAATGAACTTCCTGCGAGATAGGCTGACTCGTGCACAGTTGTCTGTTTTGTCAGTTCCTGATTTTGTACCATACATGTGTGAGAACATCGTTCCTTTTTTGATTTATTGAGTAGTGCCTATTCTAGGTGTCACATAATGTTAAAACAGCCATATTGCTTTGAAAACGCGAGAAAAAGGAAAGTTTTTATTTGTGTCCTTTCCCGGGATAGTGGCGTATTACATATTAGACTTCCAAAGATGCAAAACTGACAATAACAATGAACGTCCTGAGAGACAGTCAGACGCGCCGCAGTCGTCGTTTTGTGTTGGCGAGAGTCGAGGGAGACTGAGAGAAACTTGACAATATTGGGGTGACCAAAAGAGTGCGTACTTACTTTGCAATTATGCAGCGTAATGTTCAAGCTGATCTATGCACGTGCAGAAACAAGTGCCTACAATATTTGGACAATCACAAGAGAAAATAAAGGAATCGTTTAATTTGTAGCTTCTCTCTTTATTTTAGGAAACTGTTCTTTTGATGAGAACACACTGTGCAGTTGGTCTAACGACAATCGTACCGACCACTTTGATTGGCAGCTTAGGCGAGGAAGCTCTCCTAGCAATAACACAGGACCGACCAGCGATCATTCAGGTTGAGAATCCTAACTTAACGTTTTATACCTCATCTTTCCCCTTTTATTTGTTGACAAACTAAACTAGATAATGTAATAGATTAGCACATCTAAGTTGATTCTGCATCTTTTCTTTTTACAGACATTATTATTATTGTTGTCCTTATCATTATCCTTATCATTATCATTATCATTATCATTATCGTTATCATTATCATTATCATCATTATTATCACTGATTACTTTTTTAAAAACATATGCGTCATTTCGAAATACACCCATTGTTTACAACATAGTGTAATGTCGAAAACAAATTAATTCTGACAAAATGAAAAAAAAAACAAAACAAAACTAAGCTAATTAGCACAGTTACCGCATACAAACGATAAACTACTTACAAAGGTAAAAAAATAGGTGCTCGATGAACACATGAATCCACGGCCGTAGGTAAGTGGATTAGGAATCTCTGCAGGACCTGGGTTTAATTCAATGTCTCCAGATAACAAAAGCTTCTTTTCTGACAAGAGGTAGTTCTTAATATCAATCTGAACTCGGACAAAAATTCTGGATAACATTTATAATTCCTACCAGATCACCAACGGTTTTTTTGTTCAAATTTTGTTGTAAAAAACCGAGTAAAAAAAGACTCTTGTTCATGAGCAAGCTTGACAATCCATAGTTCTTCCCTTGAAATATCTCGAAAGGGTTGAATAATCCCTCGAAAGGGATTCGATTTTCCTTGAGAGGAATGAATTACCGCAAACAGTGAATTCGTGATTTCTGTGCCATTTGAGTCGCCCAGTGATGTAACCGGCCTGATTGCAGATTCTGTTCTACATTGCGAAATATTGTTTTAAAATTTGAGTACATGGCATTAATGTCCTCTGCATCACAAGCAACATTAGGGACCTTTATACGATGCAAAGATGGGAAGGCCAAGACGGCAACTGCAGTGGACGCAGGAAACTTTCGCGTGCCGTGTCGCCAAAGACAAAATACTTTAAGTTGTGTAATTTTCGTATAGGACGGCGACGTCAATAACTCTGGATTCATAAAAGCTTTTCATAAAACCAATGACATCCCTTTGAGAGTATAGAAATATTATCCAGTTAAGCTTAAACGATGGTGAACAGACGACACGGAACTTACTCTTGTTTATATATGTAAAGCAAACCTTCCTGATCTGTCGGTATTTAATATTGACGAAACGAGAGCTTAGACCATATTGGGCCAAACATTTTTCCTCATAATATTTAGCATATAGTAACTGCAGAGATTTACCCCATGTTTTAAAAGTTTTATTCGTGAGAAAAGTCAATTTTAAAAAAAAATCCGGTACTTCCCATTGAGAAATTTCGGCCTCTTGCACTATCTAGGAATGTCATAATGTTACAACACCTTATTACACAATTTCTGCTCTATTGTCTGTCAAATGGTCGCTTACGAGAGGTTAAAAACAATAGAAAATTTCAAACTTTTAGCTTTAAAAGCGGTCGCGGTCGCTTACGAGAGGCGGTCGCTTACAAGAGGTTCCAAATATAGTGATTTGACTTGGAAACTTTTGGTATTTTGGAAAACTGGTCGCTGAGGAGAGGTGGTCTCTTACGAGAGGTGGTCGCAACCGGAGGTTCGACTGCATGTATCAGAAAAAAATAGAAAACTTTGTCTATTCACCAATTCGCGTCACTTCGAAGAGCGTGGGGAAACGAGTCTGCAGTGTCATACGTACGGTCAGCGGTTAGAGATCGTAGTCATTGACAATGCTCCGTAAACGCTGTGCTTCTGCTAGTAAATTCGCATTTTTTTTTCCTCCGTTCTAACAAGCAACTCCCTCTTACGAACATTGACAGGTTTGACTAACCGAAAGTCTACCGACAAATCAATCGTAACTAATCTTCACATATTTGGTTCCTCTCAATCGTACAGTCGTTCATTCGGGCATTAATCGGGAAACGATCTTCGCACATGCGAAGTTTGATTAAGTACAAATACTCTTTTGCTACAAGATTTTGGTTGACGGACACGCTCGATGACATAGAATCTACGGCCCCCGGCCGTAGATTCAAAAAACTAAGGACAAACTAATACCAAGACGAAACAGAAACATACTAGACATAGACATAAGGGCCATTTATACGAGGAAAATAAGCCGCGGCTTACATAAGACGCGAACTGGACCATTTATTTACTGCCTGGATTTGTTTCTCAGTAGCCCCGAGTTCACATCCTCGGCCACGCTTGTAAATAGCTAACTGGTTTGCCTCCGGCCAGTTCGGATTCTTAACAATGTTATGTTCAATTTGAATTATTTGCTTCAGTTGTTTGCTCGGCCCCACTAGCACTTATGCTATAAACATTGCCGAGGGTAAATAAAGGTTATACTTTTTATTTTTTTTTATTTTATTTTTTTTTTTATACGAGCACGGCTTAGATAAGACGGGAAGTGCATAAGTGGTGTATAAATGGTTCACGGCTTATTCGTGACTAATTTCTCGCTTTTGTGTTAGTTGTCATAGCAATCGCGGAATTGCTCGAGCGGTCGCGCGAGCGCGGGAAACACTTGCGCTTGCGCAGTGTGAGTTCGTGTCTCACGTAGGCCGCAAACAAACCGCGATACCATTTATACGAGTGGCTTCACGTCTTATATAAGCCGCGGCTTATCTAAACCGAGTTCAAAACCCTCGTCTTACAAGAATCCGTAAGCGGAAACGTGGCAGAAAGATGTGAAACTTTTGCGGAAACACAACGGTTAACAGGCGTTTCCGCTCTCGGTTTAGTGACGTTTACTCGTGTTTACGTTTCCGTCACGTCGAGGAAACGCGGAAACATGGTATTTTGGTCCTGTGACACTAAGCTATGGTATCGGTGCGTCCCATAGACGCACCAGCTAGTTTACAGGTGCGCCAAGAAAACGAAATAAAAAAGTAAAAATGTGCCACAGGGTACAAATATTAAATTAAACTATCTAAGATTATATAACTGCTATAAACTATCTAAGAATGTATAAGAATATAAAAGATGTATGCATGCAAAAAAATGTATAAAAAAATGTATATATTGTACAGATTAAAACTATGCATAAGTAAGATTTGAGAAGGAAAAAATTGTTAAAATAGGTTGATATTTGGCGTCTGATGTCCACGTCACTTAGTGCACTGAGTCACGGAGTCCGGGAGGCTGTTCCATAATTTGGATCCAAAGTAGCGCCATAGTAGGGTATACCTTAGGGAGATTAAGAATGTTAGTACCCCTCAAGTTATCGGACGAATTCCTAAGTTGTATTAAGTCACGCAAGCAGGCGGGGCTAGGTACGTTGATTGTTCAAAAAAATTGAGGAGGCGACGTTGTAAGCTCGCTGCTCAGCTAATGTTGGTTTATTTAGAGTGTTGTTATTCTAGTGCAGCTCTATTTAAGTGTTCCAATATTGTTATATTATTACAATATTATTTTATTTGATCTGCTCCTTGATTGAACCTCACGAATGTTGATTTAATGATATTCCCCCGCACGGGCCTCAATGGCAAGCTACGGTAGTTCCAGTTCAAGAATACGAAAATGGCCTATTGACTAGAATTCGTTATCCACAGGAGAGAAATTTCATTGTTTAGGAACACCACTGTGGCCTCTGGGATGTGATGGGTTAATTATAACTTTTTGTGAGAGAATTCATGTATGTGCTGACAAAAGACAACGAGAGAGAGAAAAGTATTATATCATGAAGATATGATTGATCATCGCAGTGATCAATCATATCTTCATATGATCAGTCATATCTTCATATCGTTCTCCGCAGTTCAAATATATGGTCTTTCATATATTCACTTGTAAAGTATTATATTGTTAGATACAATGCATCGACCGCACTAAAAAGTAACGTTTTCCCAGACCTTACAAGATAAAATAATTGTAGTGTACTTCACTCATAAATTAATACATTAAAATTTTCCTTCTTCTAGGTGATGGCTCATATATCTGCATCGACACTTCACTTCCTCGTAAATATGACGAGAAGGCCAGGCTCAACAGCCCTTGGCTGAGAGGCGCACAGCGGATGACGTTTTACTACTTCATGTACAGCAGCACTGTTGAGTCCCTGTCTGTGTATGTTAGAAGCAATGGTAGTGATCGTGACGAAAGGATATGGAGTCGCTATGGTAACCACTTATCAAGCAACTGGACTAAGGGCTGCGTGGCTGTAAACATCAGTGGGACCTACCAGGTAGAAACCTTTTGGGCTAAATTATGCGGTTATTTCTTTAAAGATTAAATTTGGAAATACAGTTAACGATAAAGATTAGCGAAAAAACTGAGCAACGACGTTTCGG